ATGTCTGCATGCTAGTATATTATCCACACACAGTAGTTACAGTTAAAATCTATGGTACTTGCAGTAATAACAATTTCCTGGTTAAACCTAAAGGGAAAAAACCTACAAGAGGACAGCTATAAAAAATATCAGACATACTGTAAGTACTAAAGAGAATCAAACGTGTATTTTTTGCTACTGAAACCGAATTTGTTGACATCACTCTATTAACCGATTGCTACCACAATTTCCTAACTCAGTTGCATTTTAACTCTTTATGACTATTTTGTCATCTATAATTATACCACGCCATGTCAGCTCTTCAAGAAAATGTTTTAATTGAAATAAATAAATAAATAAAATATTCACTTTTGAAGTTCATTCATTTGCTGCATACCCATATATCTTCTGCCGAGAGAGCTCTTCAGACCAGGAAGTAGCTGAAATCGCTCAGCCAATCATATCCCTCACATTGCTTTCAATTCACGTGTTGGGAATATTGTAACAATTCCTGCCCAACATAGTTAAAAGGTTACATAGTTCAGCATGTGGTAGCAGTTTCATTCATGAAAAAAACATGAATGAAACTGCTGAATATATCAATAGAAGCCCCAGTGCTTCTCATAAATGTGAAAGTCACACTTTAGGTGTTGGCTCATGTGAAATACATCCTCCTTGTAGGTATACAACACATTCAAGTATGTGTACTTGTACAGCCAGGAGAAAGCAATTCTTCCCTGTTGATGTATTTGACTGGGGTGGATTAGTCTTATATGTGTATTTTTTATGAACTTATAAATCAGAGACAGGAAAGGCACAGGGACAAGGAATGTATTTCTCTATAATTTATACAAGGAACCACGGTTGCTGTGCATAGATTGTACGTTTTGAAGGCTAAAATTAGAATTTAAAAGCCCCAGCAAGCACAGTATAATAGCTTTATAAACACATACAAAAGTGAAAGTAGTGATTTCTGGCATTAAGGCAGAGCAGTTAAAGTAAATATTGTCAGTTGTCAAGGTTGCCCACTCACACTACATCTATTTACATTAAAGGGACACTTTAGTCACCAGAACAACTACAGCTTAATGTAGTTGTTTTGGTGAGTATAACAGTTCCCTTCAGGCTTTTTTTATGCAAACACTGTCTTTTCAGAGAAAAGGCAGTGTTTACATTGCCTCTAGGGACACCTCCAAGTGGCCACTCCTTAGATGGCCACTGGAGGCGCTTCCTGGGTCAGTGCTGCCGAAAAAGCAACCCTGATGTTCATGGAGCCGCTGAAGTTTCCTCATAGAGATGCATTAATTCAATGCATCTCTATGAGGAGGTCCTAATTGGCCCCGCCCCCATGCCGATTTTAGCTAATCCAATTCTTTCCCTACAGGAAAGCATTGGATTGGCTACAAATCGGCCATTTGGTGATATAACAAAGGGGGCGCAGCCTGCACAGGCGGACCCGCACAGCACTGGAAATAAGGTGAGTTTTAAACTTTTATAGGGGGGCTAATGGGGTGGCAAGCACTTAAATGGTGGGTTAAACACTATAGGGTCAGGGATACATGTTTGTGTTCCTGATCCTATAGTGTTCTTTTAGCAATAGAATATTTGTCAAAGGAAATAAGGTGAGTGAAAATCGAATGGGCCTGGATGTAAGAGGCATCAGCCCACAGATTATTTTATTTTCATGCTTGAATTACCAAAGATTTGCAATCTAATTCAACTAATATGATTAATAAAGATAATCAGAAGATACAGGAAAAATAAAATTGGATCTCACATATAACTAGATTAAACAATCACTTAACAATTAAACAGGGCTTGCCTCAGTGGTGAAACTGACATAGAGATGACCCTGGTATAAGAATTTGTTTGGGCAACCCTATCGCAAAGGTGGCCAAAAGGTAGATCTCCATCGTCGGATGGAGCCCTACAATGCTTTGCCATCTCGGAATCTATTATTTTCCCATCTTTGTAGAGTTGAATTTAGCACTGATCAGTGCCTATGTGTTTGAATATAAACTTGTTTTTCTATGTAGCATATGTGTGTGAATGTAGGGGTGAATTTGTGTGTACTGTTTGCATTTAAATGCACTTGTGTGTTCGTATGTACTGTTGCTATTTTAAAGTAGTGGTGTACTTGTGTGTAGTGTTGTTTCGATGCAGAGGTGTGTTTATTTTAATACATAGGTGTGTTTACTGTTGATATTAAGTGTTGATGTTTGAATGTAGAGGTGTATTTGTGTATAGTATTGGCATTTGAATGCGGAGATATATGCACATATATACATACACTGCCACATACACCAATACACAGACACACAGATACAAACACTGACATACATACAGATACACTGACACACATGCAGATTCAGAGATACGTAGATACAAACACTGACACACATGCAGATAAACAGATGCACACTGGCACACATGCAGATACACAGACACAGACACAGATACAGATACAGATACAAACACTGACACACATACAGATACACAGACATACAGATTTGACAAACATACAGACACACATGCTGGTAATATTTTAACTACCCTCCTGTTTCCTACCATTTGGGTGTAGGAGGATGCCTTCTGTTGGCTGGGGCTGTCAGGAGTCAGTTTGTGCCCCCTTCCTCTTCTTCCCGTCCAGCTCCACAGTGCACCAATTTCAGCAATGGCTACCGATATTAAAGGCATGGAGCACCTGATGGGCCTCCTTAGTGTGCTTTTTGCAACTGGCTCACCGGGCCCAAGATATTCTAGCACCCTAGCCACATTGGGTGTCTGGTGACCTTGCCAACTCCCAACTTCCCTCAAAAAACCTACTCCAAAAAAGCATACAAAACAAACACAAAAACAGTGGGACAACACCATGTACCAAATTTAATTCAATATTATATGCAGCATATGTATACGATCATATTGGGCCTAGGGCTGCCATCAGAACTCAGAACACTGCACTAAACACACACATTGATTTTTCCCCAAGTATGAGCACTTCAGCAGGGCTCGGCGCACGGAGGGCCCTGGAGGGTACCAAACTGCAATGCCCATTTTTAGGGGGTTGTAAATTGGTGATGACACAACATCCTCTCCTGTTGGGCTGTATCACTTGGGATGCTTTCAAGATTAAATGTATCATTTTTCACAAAACTTAGTTATTAAGTAAAAGTCTTTCAAATGAGAGTCCTATATCTTCTCGTTAAAATGTTATTGTTTTTTATAAATATTTAGAAATGATAACCAACACTTTTACTATATGTTATACTTTTCTCATTGTCCCTAAACAGTAACGCATATGATCTTAAGGGCTACATCATCATGATGGGTGTGTCTTAACCCTCCACTTGATTCCCTGGAGAGAATGAGATGAGACATCCTCTTTCTTGCTACCAATGTGATAATTGTGTCCCCAGTGGCCAATCAGACTTCTTTCAGCAGACGTTCAACACCTATGTTTACATCAATCAGCCATCTCCCTAACTACTCAGCAACGGGTGGCTGCAATGACTGTCAGAAGCTGACTCCACTATTACGCCTCATCCAGACCTGCTTACAAGGATGCATAACACCTGGTATGTACTCTCACTTCAATTCTCCAGGGGATTGTGACCCTGGATGTACTCCCAGAACCTATGCTCTGACAGTCTAGGTTCACCTAATTGATGGACCAACCCTACAAGTCTTCAAAAGTAAACATACTATGCTCTATAAATTAAATCTTTTCTTCATGGAGGCTGTGTGATTTACAATCTAGTGAAGTGTGACTGCATAATTAAAGTTATAAAACTCCTAAATCACAGAGAATTGAGCAGTGAGACTGCAGGGACATGATCTATAACAGCGTTTCCCAGTTGCGAGAACAAAATTGAGGTTTCACTGGGAATCGCCACATCCAAGATGTTGGATGTGGAAAGTCGGAAACAGGACCGTGATCTTATTAAGAGATTGCAAGACCGTTATGCATGCCTGCCGTTAGCCCGCCCTCCATCAGCCTGCCCTCCTTCAGCCCATCCTCCGTTAGCCCGGTCTCCATCAGCTCGCCCTCAGTCAGCCATTCCATGTGCATTCTGTGTTCACGCAAACTGGGTTCACTCCCTTTTTCCTGATAGGCCAGAGCGAATTAAAGAGCTTAGCTTGGAACCCCTCCCCTCCATGAACACTGATTGGTCGCTGCATGGTTTAGGTGCGAAGTTTGAATCTTCCGGCCTAAACCAAGTGATTCTGTGGAACTATTTTCTGGTATGTACAGAGCCTCAAGCCCAGACTTTATACGACGCTCTCTACATCGGATAGCTCCGCTATTTGCAAGGATCATAGCTGGGACCAGGAGCTATTTGGGGATATATTATTTGTGGGGTTATTTTAGGTCTTTGCTATGTTTTGGAGTATTTTTATGCGTTATGTTCTTTGTGCACAGTCGTGTTGTGGGAATGCTCCAGGGCGGGTTTGACTGTGTCCATATTTGGTATAAATTGGCTGTACCGTGTCCCATTAAAACATTCCTGTTGTACCCTTCATTAAGGCTAATGTTTGGGTAGCTAAGAGCTCTGATCACTGTGTCACTTGGGATTTAGGGAGACTTATAACGGAAATACTCAGCCGGAGTATAGGGTTACAAAAAATTAGAAAGAGATACAACAAGAAATCAAGTAAACAGGTACGAAATAGTTGAATCTACTGTTCCTTTAAATAGCCGAGACGAGTGACAAGTCAAAGTTAAAAAGAAAGGTACACAATGCTACCCAATCTTCTTCTCAAACAAAGAAAAGAAAATATAACAACAGCTACTTACTTATTTGGATTCACAAGTGCCAGAAATAAAAATGTTCCTCAAGCACAATACTTACTTTGCAAGAAAATGTTGCCAAACAATCGTTAGCACCTGCCAAATGACGTTGTCATTTTGAACAAAACCTCGCAAAGTTGATAAAGACATTGCCTTTTTTAAGCAAAAGCTTCAGGAGTATCAGAAGACTAAACAGTTTATAAACAAAATACTTAAAAATTATAATAAAGGTATTTAGTCCCCCTAAGACTAGCTAGGATGTTTCCCAACACGTCCTCGTCATGCTGGAGGTGCAAAAGCACACCAGGGTCGCGCTACACGTATTTTGGGAATGCCCAATCATAACTCCATTCTGGACTTCTGTCCAAAAGCTCATACACGCAGCTACTAGCATGACCATACCACTGGACCCTGTACACTACTTGCTTCATATGCTCCCCGCGAGCAACCCATCGAGACACCCAGCAACCACAACTGCCCTAAATATATTAACCACAGCCAAAATTGCGATAGCCTCACAGTGGAAAAACAAGACACCTCCAACTTTAGAGGAGGTAGCAAAAAGGGTGGATAGCATATGCCTTCATGAGCAGATGGCCTACAAACTGCAGGGAATACCTGAGAAACATAGTACCCAATGGGGCGGATGGCTAAGCATCCTAACGAAGGACGGAACAGTAGGGTAAGGTGCTAAATAAAAGTGTTCCAAGTTCAAGGTGACTGGACGGGGAGACTAAGAGACATGGGGACTAACAGGTCCCGTAGCGAAAACCAAAGCCATGTGCACAATATGCAAAGCTCAGGTCAAGTAGGTACACAGGTTGAAATTAAAGTTGAATGTTACCCTTCCCTTATCCTCTTTTTCTTTCTGTACCCAGATGCATGATATTGATATGTAAGAGATATAGGCTATGACAGCTCACCAATTTAGAGATCACAGGTGACCAATGTTCCATGTCGAAAATGCTTCAGGCAAGCTGTCACACAAGCAAAGGTATAACACAACACCGATGTAAAGCAAAAGTTAGCGTTGTATTAATGAACGTGTTATGTTGCAAACTGGTGATGCTGAACTTGGTAAATGAGCTGCTGCGTCAGCAAATGTGTTATGCACGGGAGTACTTCCCAAAACCAATAAAAAGGATATATGCAAAAAAATTAATTATAATAAAAAAGCCACTTATTAAAAGGCTTGTGCTACGGCGCAATTTTTTTCCGGGGGTTCCACGATGTTTGTGTACTATGTGAAAAGTTTCCACGGGAAACATTTATTGGGAACCCCTGGTCTATACACTAAAACTGCTTTATGTGTTTTTATTGCTTAGAGTGTCCCTTTAATAATTAGGTGACAATATATTTTACTTTTGATGTCATTAACTGACACAAGCTTTCATGTTAATGCTTGCTTTGTGTGTGTCCTTTTAACGTACTAAATAGTAAAATTAACATGATTAGAAACAGCTCCAACTTGCTCCGATTATAAACCAGAAACCTAGAATTTCCCCAGTTCACAAGTATGAATATAGTAAAACTTTACATTTTAACTTCCATTTAGATTCATCCCCTTGTAACTTCTTAAAACTAAAACTGTAATTATTCAAATATGTGTGTGGCAATTAAAGCAGCAGATATACTCATTTTAAAGCCAATTTGGCTCTGGAGCCTTGAAAACAATAATGTCCCATTCATTCTGGATTCCAAGCCAAATCAATGTAAAAGCCAAATCTCTGTGGGAAGCTTCATGGGTGCGTGTTAATCTAATCCAGCAGCTTTACCAATACAATGGCCAAGTATATAAGTTCCTGCCTTCATTATTTGGATGTGTGTTACTGGTTGTGATTCATTTGTTATAGAAAATCTTAAAGGTCTACACCAAGCACCATAACCACTTAAATGATTTGAAGCAGTTATGGTGCTTGGAATTTGTATGTGCAGACTCTGTATGTTCCATATAAAATGCTGCACATACTGAGTTTAACCCCATTGCTGTTGGAGGTGTAAGTCCACCTCGGACAGCATCATTGGTGCATACCGGGCTGGCTAGTATCTATGCACAGAGGGCCATTTAGCTGACACTCTCAGCCAATGAATAAGCAGCAAGATTGTCTTCTGCAGCTCTTCAGAACGGTGCACACATACTAATGCAGTTCAGCCTCCACCGTAGGACCATCAGCACTCAGTGGGACTAGGTAAGAGGGCAAACTGTTGTACAATGGGAACATTACCAGGCTGTAGTGGTTATGATGGCTGGAGTCCCCATTTAAAAACAAATGTGATGTTTTACAAGGGTTTACTAATTACAACCTAGAGGAATTAAATGAAAGGTTTTAACCTGTCAACGGACTGGCTTTGATTTACTAGGTTACTTAGAAATAAGAGTAACAGTTGCCCTCATAAGTCAGAAAATATGTGTTTTATTTACTGGCACATATCAAGGTTTGACATACAGGCATACCTAGCCATGTTACGTGTAAGTGACGTACTGGCAGATATCTGGAAACCTCTTAGATACCGAGGAACTCTTGGAATTAAGATAAGCCAGTGAAACTTACATACAAAAGGGCAAGATCAAGAAGAAAAATTATTCAAAAGGTACAAATTGAAATTCACACATTGTAAGACAAATTACACACATATTATTTGGTTGACAATTAAATTACAGTAGGAAGGACCACATGGATCTGTTACATATTTGCTGTACTCATATAAATCCCAACTAGCTTCATCCTAAATGAGCTTGTCAGCCAGGCATCAACAGAACCCAGAATATGAGTCGCGACCATGCTCTTGCATCATCCTTGAAATCGTTGCCTCATACAAATGGACTTTGTTCCTATGTGCTAAAGTCATGGTAAAGTCCATAATTGCCTTGTTCCTATAGTCGCTCTTTACAAAAACAAGGACTCAAATTTCACAAAAACTTATCTGCTGCCTCCACTGATCACCATACACATCCCACTGTTACTCCACTCCAAAATTTCCAAGCTGCTCTATCCACCCTCAAGTGACCTGCTATTCATTGTCATAACAAGTAGGTCTCCTGATTCCCCTAACTAAATAGTTAGTGGTGTTTCCAAGCTTATATAAGAAGATTCTACCTCTCTGTGCCATCATCAACTTGATCATAGGAGGTTATGTTGTGTATATATTGCATATATTCTTATTTGATATTATTGTTCCCGTAATAAGTTGTTTCTAACTAAGGCCTTGATTTAAGATTATTGGATACACTTTCCAAGTGATTTAATATTTTTGGATATACTTTTAAAATAATTTAATATTATAAAATATATTTATTTAGTTTTCTTAAATATTTTAATATCTTTTGACATTTCTCTTTTACATTTTTTTATATATAGCTTTTGATATTTTAATATGTTAAATAAGTCATTTATGGGGGCGAGGCCAGACCGCCATGCTGACCGGTCGCATGCTAGAGAGGCTCCGGAGAAAAAACAGCCTCTCAGGCAACACTTGAAAGCTAATGACCTCCACACTACCCACAAGATACCCATACGGCTGTGGTGGAGGTAGCAGACCCCGAGATTGGGAGACTCGGACACCCTCGAGGCAGTACGAGGCTTCAGAGGCTGCGGCCTACCCAGGAGTGGAGCGGGGTGGACGGCCGCCACCGTGCTTACCTAGCCAAGTTGTGGCACCAGATGCCAGCTCACTATTCCCCTGAAGCCAGCCCTTTGGGCACTGCAGTGACTAATGCTTACTGCCATCCTCTTCTTGCGGGACTCTAACTTGCCTGTTCCTTAGAGATGGAATATACCCGCTGTGACACATTAACCCCTGACAAGCAAGCCAAAGCCGCCTAGCTCACCACTCACACCCCGTATGAGACAAATACAATTGCAAGAAAAAGTATGTGAACCCTTTGGAATGATATGGATTTCTGCACAAATTGGTCATAAAATGTGATCTGATCATCATCTAAGTCACAACAATAGACAATCACAGTTTGCTGCTTAAACTAATAATACACAAAGAATTAAATGTTGCCATGTTTTTATTGAACACACCATGTAAACATTCACTGTGCAGGTGGAAAGGCCGGTTACAGCCTATCAGAACTAAAAAGTAAATTTCTGTTTTGAAATACAATGGTCATCAGGGCAACATATGACTGACACACACACTATTAGACAGACACACACTATTACTCGGACACAATCTGACAGACACACTCTCACTGAGAGACGCACGCACTGCATTCTGTTTTGAGATATGTAGAGAGGGATCTCTTAAAGGATTTTAGGCCTGGGAAGATTTAAAAGTGTGCGGGATGTCGTTCCATAATTGCGGGCTCTGTAGGAAAAGGAGGATGGAGACACTTTCTTTTTGTATTGAGGTAGACTAAATAAAGTGCTTGTACTGGATTGGAGGTTATATGAGGTGAGGACAGTCGGGGAGAGCATTCTGCTCAGGTAGGGTGGGAACTTCCCAGAAAAGCTCTTTAACACAAGGCTGGAAAGATGAAGGGTGCGTCTGGATTCCAGCATTATCCAGTTTAGTTCTTTTAGCATGTCACAATGGTGGGTTAATGTAATTACATTGTAGCACAAATCAGTAGAACGAGTTATACAATTTATTAAGTTTATTATGGTGGGTTTGCGATGCAGGTGCATATACTACATCCCCATAATCAATGATTGGCATCAGAATTTTCTGTACAATCTTTTCCCTTACTGTAGGCAAGGACGTATTAACCGCAAGGCAAACAAGACATTTGCCTTGGGCGGCATTTTCCAGGGGGTGGCAAAAAAGCCGCCCCTAAATGCCCAGGGCAAATGCGGCTAACTGACAAGCTGGGCAGGCGGTCGGGCGGGCGAGGGAGCTGAACAGACAGCTCAGGGAAAAGTGATCCCTCGCCAGTGCCGCCCGCCTGCCCGCCACGTGACTGGGAGAGTGAGGGAGTCGCTGTCAGAAATGGGCACACATTGTGAGCGATACGATACATATGAACAGGGATGTATCTTACACGAGGCAAACAAGGCATCTGCCTTGGGTGGCACTTTGCAGGGGGCGGCAAAAAAAGCCGCCCCTAAATGCCCAGGCAGATACCTTGTTTGCCTCTTGTCCTGGGGGCTCAAGAGCTGGCCGGCTGGCCACTTTTGAGCCCCCCCGAGGCGGGCAGAGAGGGAGCATGCTCACGTGAGCTCTTCCTTCTCAGCTCCCTTGCAAGACAATACCTGGTGAAGCCCTCAGACATGGCCTCCCAGGCCTCTAATGACTCGGAGGCGTCCGGCGTTTCCCGCGCGACATCGCCATGTGGCGACCAACAAGAGACACAGACCCGGACTCCCCCAGATCTCCAGGTAGACTGGGTACAGATGATTCGGGCACTCCCGACCAGACAGGACCTGAGGGAAGCCAACATCCAGGGCCTACACACTAAGGTGTCTCAACTAGAAGCGGACTGCGACCACCTGACATCCACCCAATCTGCTAAACAGACACCCTGCACCGCCACACAGAGCAACTGAGGCACATGGCCTTACACATGGAAGACCTGGACAACCGAGGCCGGCGGCAAAACATAAGAGTAAGGGGCATCCCTGAAGATCTGGACCAAACTGCTCCGGTACCAGATACCCTAAGAGAGCTATTCAACAAAATCCTGGGCCAACCGGCGACCACTGCTATTGAATTTGTCCGAGCACATCGAGCATTGAGACCAAGGGGCCCACCGGAGGCTCCCCCAAGGGATATTATCTGCTGCTTAGCCAGCTTCCAACTCAAGTAAGACATACTGCGCAAAGCACATGGCATGGAGAGAGTCACACTCGACGGAGTTGACATCCAGCTTTACCCGGACCTCTCACCAGCTACACTGGCATACTGACGGGCGATGAGGCCCCTCACCAGGATTCTACAATCCAATAGAATTCGATATAGATGGAGCTTCCTGACCGGGCTTCAGGTCATCACAGCTAAGGGACCTTTCACTGTCCATCACCCAGAGGACTTATGCAACCTAACCACGGAACTCCAACTCCCAACCATCACTATGGCATGGCCGGACCCCCTCACATTCTATACGGCAATACCTGCGAACCGGGGACCGCCAACCCTACCCCACCGAAGCAGAGGAACCCGCCAACAAACCACCCGACCCTCGGGGGCTGCAGCATAAAAAGGACTGAGGACAGAACAGTGCACAACCATAGTAACCATACCTGTGACTCTTTTTCCTTTAGGGGTACCAGCCTCCCATGACCACTCTGCAATGCAGGCCCGCTAACCCACATTAATGGGTCCAGGGGTAGAGGGAGGGTGGGAGGGAATTACCACGGCTACCACACACCAGGCACCCTGACACACTAGCTATAGCACACACTTGAAACAGGGGGGAAGGGGGACCGGGGGAACGGACAGGGCCTCCCTACAGGTAACCTCTGCTGATGGGGGGCAGAAGAGAGAGAAGGGAACCCACGGGGAAACACCCTGGGAGAGGGACCATGCCAGTGGATGGGACGGGAGGGAGCTGAAACCATGTGACGACCTGACAGTGCCACGGTGGGCTGGGGAGGGAAAGGCGCTCAACTAGACTGGGCCTCACCGCTGGGGCCTTGGGCATCCTGTGATGACCCAACCGAGCAGGGGTCGGGCCCCACCGGTGGGACCCACTCGCACGCTGGAAGCACGCCGGGGGGGGCAGTGGCCCACTGAGCTGACCAGGGACCTTGAGACCGGCTCATATAGGCCAGGGCCTATATATCACCCTCCCCCCCCTGTGCAGACCTAACGCACGACTAGAACAAAGGGAACAAAGCACAGGGGACTGAAGAAGGGAGGACAACCTGGTGGGGGACAGGGGATACGCAACAGTGAGGAGGGCACATAAACTAAGGATGAAAGAAATAGGGGGGGGAACACGTACACCCTAACACAGGCACTGGTATTGCGTACGGAGCTACTGTTTAATGTTTACTGGCTCGCCAGTTCCGGTTTTACCACATTCTCTTTTTTGTTTCTTTTTCTGATGTTCTGTTATCTTGTTCTTACATGTACACACCGCGGACATCCGCAACTACTTTATGACACAAGACCCGGAGCCCATAAATTCCATGCTCCACTGACGAGGATCACAAAGACGATGCAAATCCCATAGACAGAGCCGATAGGGGACCCGCATGGACCTGACAGATTGAGACTGAGACACGCTACAAAGGTACACGCCAACCACTACCACCCACTGGGACACGGGGAGGACTGGTGCCACCCGGAGCCCCCTTGCCTC